CGCCCGCGTTGACGGTCGGCTTTTTCGATGATACAAATTGTAAAAGTCAGCGAGGGTTAGGTGACGATTTTCTCGTACGATTTGTGCGGTCCGCGAGCGTTGTACGTTCGAAATTTGAACGCGATCGGGTAGTGATTGAAGTCTTTTGAAGTATATTTTTGCATAGGCCCGAATGTGGATACAGTATCTTTTTAAAATAAGCCTTTAGGTAGAGTTTTTAGAACTACTCTATTCATTCTAAGGAGGTAATAAGCGGAAAATAAGCTTTATTAAATTCAATAGGGTTTTAAGCTTTTATCGTGAAACAATACTTAATGCATTTTGTGCAGTTTCATTTATCAATTTTGTCTCAAGTAGTTTTCCTTCTAAGATTTACTTCAGGGTACCATAAGCTCGGAACAATGAACTGTCTAAAGACTCTACATTTATCGGTTTAGAGACTCTTCAGCTTTCATTGTCTTTAACAATTAAAGAATATGTACTTTCAGCGCGGTGTTTTACACGGAGAAAGTATTAGTTACTCCTACTAGGTGGACCGACGATCTGGAAAAGGTCGCGGGAGGAGCATGTATGCGGGCAGTGCAGGACCGCTCATTATGGAAAGCCTTAGGGGAAGCCTTTGTCCAGCAGTGGACGTCATTTGGCTGAAACGAACTTTAGTATGGAATATGTTTATACTAGAAAGATTTTTCAAAATGTGATCAATACATCTAGAGCTTACTCAACATAAACATTTGTTTAAAATTCCCACCTCACACTCGCTAACTCTTAGTCTGAACAAACAGACATGCTCACTTCGATACTGGGCATGTTAGTAGTTAGCACTACTCACAAGTAAAGTTGCAAGTCTTAAGAGTTGTCAAACAAAAATACGCGCAAAACAAATAGTTGGAGTTCACCAGAGGGCGCCACGTGCCGCTGTAAGAATGAAAAACTTTTGCCGCATCGTTTTGTGCAACAAGTTATAGTTAATGTTGTCCAACAAGTGGTGACGTGTTAGTGGTGATGAAGAAAAAAAACATATTTATTTTAGACTATTTTAATTCAAAAACGAAGATCATCCATTTTCTCCGGGAGAGGTCCCTTACAATCTTATATTCTTATAATAATAATCTCATGCTCATTTTGAACAGGTATTCATTTTATAAGTAAGTAAATGTATAGCAGCTAATATATTAAATTGGTATCACAACATTAATGAAAAAAAAAATCAAACGACAGTCAAATGAATTCATGTTCAATAAAATATTAACTTTTTAAAAAAATAAAACCGACTTCAAATGCGTGAACACAAAAAAAAACTAAAAATTAAAAATATTGCGTATAAAAAGTTCATCCCCAATTTTCCACCCTTGGGGGTGAAATATTTTCTTCAAATTCGCATGAAACCACCCTTTTGATAATACCTATTCAACAAAAAAATAATCGTTCAAATTGATTTATAATCGGCGGAGATATTGCGTAAAAAAAATTTCATCCCCAATTTTCCACCCTAGGGGGTTGTTTTTTCTATTATTAAATTTAAATGGGACCACCCTTGAGGTATTATCTATACGCCGNTGTTGAATAAAGGAAGAATATTGGTGAAAAAATCACTTAGATTTTTGGGTATTTCACGTTCTTTTAATTTGTGATTTCTTATTGTAAAATGCTTAAATCTAAAAATTTTCTGAGATAACTATTTGCCCAAGGATCTATGCTATAGGATATAAATGTTTGTTAAATCGTTTTCACAGTATTTTTATAAAAATTTCAGCTTGTAAACTGACGCTAAAGTGGAAATTTACAAAACCTGTGTGGACTTATCTTGATAGAATTCTTAAATACTAAACTAATCGCAATATTTTCTCAATTAACTATTTAGACGACGAAATTGCCTAACTATTTATGCCTATAACATATTTGTAATATTACTGGTTAATGATTGTAACGAGTTGAAAAAGTACTGTTTTTGCGCCAAACGGCGTAAACGCTCTTAATAGGTTCGCGTATGTAACGTTTATAAGATTTTAAAAAAGTCAGGATTGAGCTCAACATAATGCATTTAAATTATGTTAAAGACATCTCTGCAACATACTAGACTGCATAGAAGAAGTAAGTAGCTCTTATTGAGTTATTTTGAAATAGATATTCTTTTTTACTAATAGATAATGAGTATTATACAATCATAGAGTTTATTAATAATTGCTAATTAACTATATGTTCTAACATCGCGTTATATTCAGAACACTAGTAAATAAGCATCTTTATGTACCCATGTTTCACTTATTTGTTGGTTATTTCATATAGAATAATTATATTGACCTACCTACTAAATTTATAACAAAATGTATCAGTTTAAGGTACCTAAACCAAGTATTATTGAGGATTTAAATAATTTAGTTAATAATGTTATTTTTAACTCTAATATAATTTTAAATGATGTTATGCGTAATTTTAGAATAAGTTATATTAAAACCTACTTAGTTGAGTACTTAATTGTAACTAATTTTTAAGTTAGCGTCCATTATTTCTTGTTGGTGTTATATGTGCCATGCTAAGAACGACTAGAATGCAATGTATAATAGCTGGATAGTTACTTCCCATAACTGTTTTCCATAGTCCATGACAAACAAAAGTTAGACGAGTATTTAAAGTATTTATAAGTGTGACTAATTGTTTAACTTGAATATCAAAATCTAAAGTTTTGATAGCATGAAACTGGATGAGAATGCCTTATGGCATTAAGTTCGCCTAATGTTAATATTTTTGGCATTGAAGTATAAATAAATAAATAAACTGATTTTCTGAGCCAATCGTAAGCCTTCAAGTAAATGACGCCGGAGCCGCACCGGCGCTGAACCGCATTTTTGTGTATACGAATGAATATCGCACCTGCGCGCTGCCGCCGCATCGCGTATCAGGACACTCGCGCAAATGTCTTTCGCGCTCATGTCTTTTCGCGCTAACGTCCATTCGCGCTAATGTCATATTAAATCAGCATCAAAATTGAATACGCGGTTTCGGTCCGGAGCTAGTGGGGCGCAGACGCGGTTTTCATTCGTATACAAAACAAACATGCGGTCTCGCCCGGTGCGTTTCCAGCGTCATGTACTAGCCTTAGGCCCAGAACAGACGGAGAAACGCAACTGCAACGAAACTGCAACTTTGTGATGATTCTGATGAATGAAACTGAAACTAAAAGTTTCAAACTGGTCGCGTCATGTGTGGTCTCTCAACGGACGCTATGGCAGAAACTTAGATGCAACTCAAAAGTAACTAGCAGTTGCAGTTTCGTTGCAGTTGCGTTTCACCGTCTGTTCTGGGCCTTACAGTTTTACCATTTGAAAGTTCTTTTACTGTAACGTGAACTGTAGCAAAGGGGAGGTAACTGTACGACTGTGCGTACTCGCATACAAAGCATGGTATTCAGTTATGTATGGGATCATTCCGGCTCAATTGCTAAAAATGGGCGTCTCTACGATATGATTTAATGTTTGTTAAAATTTGAGACCAATGGAACTCGCACGACGCATCAACATCTTTTTTGTTTGTATCCAATATTACATTGAATTTTTATCTTGAGACAAAGAGTATTATAAAATATTTGATATAGTGTAGGTAGACTATACCAATCGAAAAGGTTGATTTTACAACTCAACAAAACAGGAATCAAAAGATATCCAATATAAATTTACTTTGTCGGTTTAAGTATTTCTTTACAGCACTCTGTATTGTAATATCCGAAACTGCGGTTGTGAATGATCCCAAAATGGAATACTTATCTATCTTTGTACTCGGAATTGGGCCGTTGGTTGGCCGCTGGTTTCCTAAGCTATGTAAAGTGCCTAGTTTAGTACTTACAGATTTGTAAAGTTTCGTAGTTAGATTATATTCCATAGCATTTATAGGAAAATTTCGTTATGGCTCTATAGCATTTGGTTTTCGGTATTACGTCGCTCTTTTGTACAATCTTGATGATAATAATGTTTTCGACAATTTCAATAATTATGAGTAATTTCGAAGTGATATTTCCTCTAAATATCACGAAACCATAAAAATATGGATAAAATGCAAAATACAATATCGGCTCAAAAACTCTAAAATACAATATCGGCTCCTGTAAAACATGTGCAGCCTACATACACACTTGATTTTGATACACAAAAAAATTAAAATGACTACCACACAGCAATGTGTGTAAGTGTATGTAAGATTTATAATGTAAGCGAATAAGTTACAATTTCACCGAATGTTATGGAAGCCAACGACTGTTCATTTATCAACTAAATGCGCTATGATGTTAAATATTATTGTATTTACACTCGATAGATTAGTTCATTCGTTGATATTCTGTTTACTTGCTGTTATACAATTACAAACCATCGCAGTTTATAATGACAGATTGCTATTTTTAGTGGATTTATCAGATTTTGTATAGTGTCGTAAGTACTTATTACGTTGGCCGAAAGTTTAAAATATCCTAATTATTAACATTTGTATGTTTAGATGAGCTCATTTGTCTTGCCCCATTCTGTGTTTGAGTATGGGGTACGAGTACGCCGACGTGATCGTGTCATATGTGCCAAACAATGTGTGTTCAATGAATCCACGCGACAGTTGTTTAAGTATTGTAATATAGTTTTGTATGTGCCAACAAATCTTCCTTTGTGCCGTGCCATCAGTGTAAAAGCTAACGCACAGCAAAACCTAATGTAACGTACGCCAAATATTACTACAAATGTCATTTAAACAGTTGGTAACGGAGAAACAGTTATTTTTTCATAAATGTTTCGCTCAATAACCATTGTTACGGATAAATCGACTGTTTAGAGTAGGCCTTATTTACTAGATTGCCAAAAATTTGGTTTGTGTATGCGAGTTTTCAACGTTGCATTTTGTATAATGATGACTTTCCCGAGTGACGACGTGAAAGAGTGTAATGATTTCTACCAATTAGGTAGTTGGTGGATTTTTAATAAATAACACAATAAACATGTCATGTTTTTATTTTAACCATTAATTTGTACAATAATTCCTAATTTAAGCTTAATAATTAATTTTAAAATTAGCGTCTACAGGCTCAGTTCATGAAAACATGACCAGAAGAGTCTTGGTGAGTGACCTTATTTGTTTCAAATAACAATGCAATATTTTGTGGCGCATATTCTTGGTGCTATACATTCTGGTCGGGCTTTCCATCAGTTATATCTAGAGTTAACAACAACAGTCTGGTGGGTCTCAATCGACTTCTAGCTTCCTAAAGTTGCCGGTGAGGCCGCGCATGGCGTCGCCGACCGCGTCTGCGCCCGCGCACGTGTTGGCGCCGGCGCGCAGCGCGGAAATGGCGCCCTCTCGCGCCGCTTCGCTGTACATTTCAAGGCGGACCGCCATTTTGTCGTTCAGAAGCAGCGTGTCGCGTTTGCTGGCTAGCTCCTCCTTCCACAGTTCTGGAAAGATGGTGTAGGTTAGATTTTGCTGAATACGGAAATTAAATGATCAGGTATTACTTACAGGCTTTTATTGGAGCACTAATACTCAGTAAACAAGACCTCTCACTCACATATCAGTAGAGTGAGCAAGCTACATCTGAGGATCCCAAATAGTTATTAAATTAAAACTCACTGTCTCTCTAGCAAGTTAAGGTGGTGAATTTATCAGCCATGTGATTAAAAATCATCTCTTATGAAAGATTCACTTCAGATAGTTCATTGCATTCATTGGATATTGGTAAATAGTCAAGCTGAGCTGGTAGTACAGTTTTGAATAAGTACTTTGGACTACTAACCGATCATCTCCTTCATAGGCATAACACCGCCGTACTCCTGTGGCAACAGTTTCTTGTCGATCTCCACGTCAGCAGGGGAGCTGTACAGACGAACGCGCTTGCGGATTTTGTCTGAGATGAGCGCCATGCCGAAGTCGAGCGCGAACTTGACTGTCGGGTGTACGTTCACGCCGTAGATCTCTTTATGTCTCATTGGGAGGGTACGCTAAAAAATAATAATTGATGTAATCAGTAAGTTTCAAAATGTGGCCGTGCAACATGTGGCACTTGTTGCATAGGTGTGAAAATTGCAGTAAGATGTGATGTTGACTAAATTATATAAATATCTCGTACGTTTATAACATTTCTGTGTCCGGGTATTTCAAAATACATCCTACTGAAACTGGATCAAAAGATTGGACTCTACTTTTTAGGCTTGATAATCCAGCCAAACACCTTCATGGACCCGGCTGGAGGTCCCCAGATTTAATGCCTTGCTATAAATAACTCCAACCGTTTCTATCACTCTCAGTATCAAATAAGTACGACGATTCCGAGCTTCGTAAGGCCCGTTGCGATTTAGCCCTCAAAATAGAAGAAACAATAGCAAGGGTATTTCTTTTCATTATACGGATCGCAGGAATTAAGTCTGTATCAAAAGACAGTGCTGGTAGTCCGGTTCTTGTGGGAATCCATGGGGATCCATCCACCTTTGTCCAGCGTCCACTGCTGGAACCAGGGGGAGACCCCCGAAGTTCCTTCTCAGATTTTTGAGAGGAAAATATCGGCTTGCTCACAGTCAGAGCTATGTCAGATGGTTGCTTTTGTGGTTGGGGAGATATGAGGTTTTCATTAGAAGGCTTAGGAAGTGGTTGATTTAAGATTACGAAGGTTGAGATTGAGTCATAGGAGGAAAAGCTGAAAAGAACGAATAGGGGTTATAAATATGCGTCTTCATATACCTCTCCATTCTTCACGATCCTGACAGCCTCCTTGGGCGTGAACAACGTGAGGTGTGGGAAGCTGACGCCGCTGCCGTCCGCGTAGTGGACCAGCCCGCGCACCTGCGATTCCTCGTCCTCGAGCAGCGTCTCGTAACAGATGCCCATCACCCGGCACATGTCTTGGTTCGTGTATTTGTAAGGGTCGAAAACGCCTAGAGGGAGAAACAGTCAGTCTTTTCTCTAGCAATAGTGTGTTGCCCGTGGTCCTACTGCTCAGTCTTCATGATAGAACTACGGAAATATATTTTGCAGTGGTCCTACCATAATTTCTACGGGTGATTTGATTTCAAATGGGCTTATCTGTGATGCTTCCAGTAGAACTAAACAGAAGGACCACCGGCGATGCATGACGTGGTCAACATGTTTAGTGCAGAAAAGATGGAAAAGTGGTATTGCCATGAATTTGGTATTATCACAACGATAATTTTCAAGTTTACAGAGGAGTATTCTTCATTGCATTTGTTTTTTTATGCATAAGTTAATTGCAGTTAACTTTGTGGGTTTAATGAAGATTCCGTCTAGTAGAATTCTTGTAACATACTTAGTTGGACAAACGGCAGCTCGGATTGGTATTTTAGTAGGTAAATATAATTTACTTATGCATAGAGTTATTGTCTCCTTTGCCTATAAAATACTTAATATCACGGGCAAAGAGTAGGCAATGTTAATACAAGCTTAGTGAGTTTGTTTCAAGAAAGTGCTGTTAGTCAGGTACTCTTCTAGAAAGATTTGGTGTAGCGAAATGGGTGTCGGTAATATGGACTGAATGTGCTGTGAAGTGGAGATTAAATTATTTAATGGACAATACTTACAATCCCTTTGTTAGCAATGATGACGTCAGTCCTGATGACGGTTTGGATGAATGCTTCCATATATATTTATGACATATAGATTTTATACTTATAAATATTTTGACAAATAAATACACTTATGCTAATTTTATTTAAAAATATAAGTAACTTACTTGGTTATCCCAAACTTGCGTGAATTTACTGTGGTGTTAAATTGAGAAAGTTAACTCTCTGTCTTGCAAGAAAGTCAAGAGTTTTTCGGAGCTATCAAGATTATTCGGTAAGTTACGAATACATAAAAATACATACCTCGGAATAAGATACATAAAGTTTAAATACATATTTGTATAAATGGATGTAAGCATGAACGCTACAGGTAAAACCGGGGAAGTAAGGCATATCTACCAGGCCTGTATATGACAACACGACGACCGCCGGCGTCCTTGAAGGGACTGACAAAAATGTACCTGCAATGGATAATATATTAGTTAAGTGGTAAAAGTCATTTGATTACTTTCAGCAAGGAATTTACCGAAAAATTTACGAACCTTAGTTTAATGAAATTTACAGGACGGTTTTAAGAATGTTAACTATTTTTAGAAGAAAGAACATTTTAGTATCTGTCTGCCACGACTTCTGTACTCGTATTTTAAATCCTGAGACACTTCAAAGTTATTTCTGCCATTTCGGGTCCAAGACTTTATAACTTTTGTCATTGTTATTAATCCTTTAGTCTCCACTGTAGGAGGACGACTATTTATTTTACCATAAGAAAACAGAGGGTTTGGCCTACACTTTTGTCTAAGCCATGCGAATATTCCCGACTCAAGAACTGTTCCAGCAAACTCACCCCAGGTCGATAAGCTCCATCATGACTGGCAGTTTGTAGTCGAGCTGGTTGAAGGCGATGCCCCAGGACTGGCGCAGCAGGATGTACCTCTCAATGGCCTCTTGAGCCATCGGCACACTGAATTTCTTCGCTCGGAGGAAACGGAGGAGGAAACTTGAATCTGGAATTTGATGGACGAAATAGTAAGTGTTAATGATTACTTCATTAGTATTTACTCCAAGATGTACTCATAAGATATTCTGTTTTTCGAACTGATTCAAGCCTGCTGCAAAAAGAGAGTTTCTTTTAAATCCTACTTACTCTTTGGGAGTACTACCACAGAATAATAATAAGTACTATTACTACTTTTGGTACCACCAATGAATATACCTATTTCTCTGGGTACTGAGCATTTAAAGTAACTGGTCTGATACATGAGTCAGTACTACCAATAATGTGTCTGCGTATCTGGTCTGGTATCATCTAATATAATAACTGTGACCACAAATATAGGACTACCATAATGATATCACAGAGATGGCGGGCGGAAAGCTGTATCCGCCTCTACAACCGACGTGAACGCCTCAACGTGACCACGACAGCTGTGCCAAGAGCGAAACGAATAAGAAGATCATAGAACTTAAAATAAATCTTACCCATCCTCACAGCCATGAACTTGGGGTTCTGCTCCATCCAGCTCCTCAAGGCTGTAAGCGCTTGGGATCTGGAGTTGTGGGTCTCCCGAAGCTGGTCCGAGGCGATCGCCTGCGTGTCTTCGGACAGCGGGCATTTGTACTCGTCGGCAGCGGTCAGGTATCGTTTGGTTAGACGTCGAGACATTGTCGTGGATCTGTAAAGAAAGAGATTTGTTTGTATTGGATGTTTCTGGTGTCTTTGTTAAAACTACAATACTCCTCGTATTGAGTTAAGGTCCTATGTCCCCTAGATGGGGCAGAGGGCGTCCACAACAGTCCTCCATCGCGTTTGGTCTTGAGCTTCGCGTTTGATCTCGCTCCAAGTTTTAACAAAGGCCTTTAGGAAAAACTAGTTTTCACCAGAGAAAACGGGTTTTAACTGTAACATATCCATGTAAATTTGATGCGTTATGATGAGGATTACATGTGTTGAATGTCCAGGTACCTACAGGAACATGATGCCTCTTGTGTATTACAAATGTTTGTAAAGTTTATCAAAGAAAATGATGTTGTAATTTGAGTTCCAAAAATGTGTAAATTCTATAGTCCGTTTTTTTTTTGTTTCAGCATCTTTGAAATGTGTGCTACAATATATTAAACGTTCAGATCCATTCCAGCTCTACAAGTGTGACATAAATATAAATAACTTGTACGAACAACCTCTAAAGGAACAATATTATTTGCTTCATAACAATACTTTGTAATTTTCTGCGTGTCATGGGCGCAAACAGACGCGTCCTCCCTGACATCCTCGTTACACAATGCACTTACAAAATATTGAGTTTGCATCTTCTACAAGGCGACGTGTTGCGTATGCCTTTGAGCACTATCTCGAAGTATTGTCTACATAATTGTTAAATGCTTTATAATGGTCCTAGAACAAAGTTCGAAAAATAACTTGCTTTATAAAAAATCTTACAAATCACTAAATGCTATTTAAAATGGGTAATTTTAAGAATCATCGTCGCAGAAGTAATTAATTACTCGTAAAGTCTATAAGCTAGCTATCAAAGACTATTAGTAAAATACACGAGTATCTAGAATACCCGTAACTAGACTTCATAAGTTCAAACATCTCCAATTATACGCGAAGCTAGAATTTTTGCGTTATTCAATTTACATACACTGAGTCATGCTAGGAAAATTCTGAAACTAAAACTAGCCTCATATTCATTGCGCACGCGTCTTTTCCAACTCAATCAACGGTAATCGCTCCGCTGTTTCAAATTGCAAATTGCCTGACCTTTTCTCTCACGAGATTGGGCTTGGGCGCAGTGCAACTATAGCGATACCCAATCGAGCAGTCCGGCAACTAGTGAGGCAACTGGTTGGGCAATGATATGATTTTTGATGTGTTATGTAAGACAACATTCGGGTATTACAATAAACGAACTGTTCTTGTGCTTTTTGTAATGGCATTGTATGCAGAGTAAACCGTTTGCTTAATTTATGTAAGACTGCTTATCTATGTAGATTTTTATTCCATCTGTTACGATTTTATTGTGTTGAGTGTTGCGTTCTTTTTATATTTGACTAGCTGACCCGGCGAACTTTGTTCCGCCTTAATGGCAATAAATAACGGGATAAAAAGTATCCTATGTCCTTTTCCTGGCTCTAAACTACCTCCCTGACAATTTTCAGCTAAATCAGTTCAGCCGTTCTTGAGTTATAAGTGGAGTAACTAACACGACTTTCTTTTATATAATAGATATGTACAAACTTTATTTTATTGGGTAACTAACGAACGCAATATTTAATGGCATTTCAGACTCTGTTTAACTGCTATTTACTTACATGGGTATCGTCGAGTCATTATTAAAGTTGATAGAGTCATGTCTATTTTTTGTTAAATTTTGATTGACTCTACCACTTTCATTATAATAATTATTGCTCTCGTCTTACTATTAACCCGAGCTTCACAATGTAAATTGCAAAAGGCTCACAGCGACCTATAAAATGCACTCAACGTGGCATTACAGTTACATAACAATTTACATGTTACGTTCACTATTGAAATTGAAATTATGAGTCTGGGTGGGTCAACCCTATTCATTGCTTAAGGGCCGGCCATTTGTCCATGGGTATAAAATACTAATAAGATGACGATATTTTCCATCTCTCATCACGTAATCATAGATTCTGAGATAGTGTCAAAGCGAGGAGAGGTAGGGCGACGTTTTCAGAATAGGTTAACAGTCTTTCGTAAGTAGTTAGTTCAGTAGATATTTAGCATATTAAAAGAATATGGCCAAAGCATCAGAATTAATGGGACAAATCGTTACCAGTCTAAAATGGTGAAGATGAGTGTACCCCACATATCGAGCAGTTCTTTCGTTCGTTTTAGCCAAATGATGTCCACTGCTGGATAAAGGCTCAATGATTTTTCACATTGACCGGTAAGCAAAAACCTCTCCTGATTTTCGCATGTGCTATGATCCATTTCTATAAACTTAAGACTGTCTTAAGTCATTACACCTAAGAATAGGTCACCTCCAGTTTCCTCTCCTCAGTGATAGCCAGCGGGCCGGGGGCGTGGGGGCGCCCCCGCCTGCATTGCACAGGTCACCACCATCGTCGGAATCGTCATCAATCGGATTCGGAACAGCTGTGTGCTCCCAGCTGCTCCTGTCACCCCCCGTCCTGGGGGCTTGTAGGGCCCGCCATGTAGGCGGGCAATCGCCGGGAGGGGCTGTGGTGGAGAAGACTTTGTCCGGAAACCCACAGTTTCCTCCCCCCACTTATGGCGACGGAGCACCGGGGTCTTTTTAGTGGATATGGCTCGTCCTTCAGACTTGGTGAGCCCCACATAACCTACCCTGTCCCCGCAGGGTAGGTATGCGATTCAACGCATTTTTTCCCCGTAAAAAAAGGTAATTCTACTAATTATCAAGGTCTCTATTTTTAATGCCAGAAAGTAGAATAAGTTAGGAAGAAGATTATTACATCAGTCAGATACATCGACCTTTAGGTAAAAAGATTACGATCTCATCCGTCATCATTAAGAAACAGTTCGGTTAATGATGTCACAGAGGCAGTTTCCTAACTAACAAGTTCGGCCCAAAGGTTCTGTTGTAACGATGTCGCGGACAGAAGCAGCGTGTAACATACATCATATCTTTTGTTACATTCCGGTTACTGTTTGTTGCTCCGTATTCGGAAACTACGTCAAAAACTATAAGCATAGGATGAATTTTAACGGTCAGATCTCAGTAACATCAAAGAAGCTCTAGTTATAGTAAAAGTGATTCATTTATTTCACTATGATTTTCAATAAATAAGTAAATGTTACCTATATGACAAGTCTCAATAATAGGTCACTATATTACTCGTAATTGATAATTTCATTTTTTAAGCTACAAGTTAAAATCTATTTTCGACTATCATGAGCATAAAATAAGACGTGCTTCACTCAAGAACTTGTAGGTTTTCTACATCTTTTGGGTTCATATCAGATGATTATTTCATGAATCTAAGTTTATGTAGTAGTTCTGAAAGTGATACTGAAAAGGTTTAAGTTTCGAAGTAACCTTCAGGGCTCAATGGAACAAACGCGTGTCCAATATGTGGCGATTGCGTTATTGGTAACCCTATAGGTGCGTGTGCGCAGCCGTGTCGCAAGTTAATAATCTTACGGCAGATTGTAATATGAAATTAGATTAATGTCATCATGAGTGTGGCCTGGATCCTGATTGCTACTATATTACTAAGAAATGTTGAAATGGTTTGCTATAATGCTATAACCTACTTCTAATCTACGAGTAATCTCTCTTCATAAATAGGTAGGTACTCGTACTCCAACTAATGCAGGTCATTGTGTTAATTATTATGAAACAATTTAAGAAGCTCTTTAGAAACATGAAATGTTGTGACTGCTAGTTATAATATTTGCCAAGAATGTTTATATCTCTCTATTATTTTAAATACATCGCATTGCTTCGCGGTGTTAGTTTTAAGTAGTTCTCACGCATTATTTGATGTGGCATGTAGGTAAACCTATTGTTTTTGCTTTGTTACTGACCTTCGTTCTCACAAGATCATAACATAATTATGTGAAAAGCACGCAAAGATCATACGGAACCATTTCTAAGTTTCTGAGTGTATGCCTTTTTGATAAGACTTTTTATAAGTAGAGGTAGTTAACACCCTACACTTTTTAGTGAATTATTACACTGTAGGTTAGGGTCTACATGATTGATTTATAGCTACAAAACTATCTAACGCCCGTATTTACAAACATTACTATAAGGTCTCACAGTGCGCGTGGACGCACAGAGTGACACAAGAACCAATCACAGAGCTCTATTAAACGCTGTGCGTTCGATTTGCTGCTTCACTTAAGCAAGTATCGTTTGTGAATATCTGCGTAAGTGTTTAAGTCGAAATAAATATTATTCAAGTTACTAAACTTCTCATTAAATAAAGCACAGTCAAACTTTGTTTTACTGATGTTTCAAGTTTACTCAAAAACTACACGAAAAAGTGAGGTGACTCAGATAGCCCGTAACGAATAGTATGATTAAGGTCTAAAATTCTCTATCTCTACATTATAAACTAAGAGCTAGTGAACGCCAGACCTACGTCATTTTATAAAAGCTGAAAGTTTGTCAGCATAAAATATGCTCCCAATAATTATAGGATATAATGTAGGTGAATTATGAAGTTTGGGTCATCGTGGCTTTGGGAGCTACCCTAAAAAAACTGTCTGGCAAGGAGTTGGAACTGTCAAAACTGTCTGGCGTTCACTAGCTCTTCGTCTATTATTATGTAGGTATGTAGGTACTATGTTGGTGTTCCAGCCCAGAAATTATTTCAGCTCACGGTTGTGGTCTGCATAATCGAGATAATGAAAAATAATTGTGCCCCATCTATGCGCTTGGGCAACTCAATTAGAGCGCAGGCGCGCGCGGTTCGTGTGAAGTGTTACTCAAGTTACTTAATGCCGGTGTAAAAATGTGTCTAAGATTAAATAATGTACAGTCAGATGCATATTGGAAAGAACAACGAACATCAATTATAAATTATGCAGTACCTTTAATTGTTTTTATTTGGACTGTTTTTTTTTAGTTAAGTAGGTACCAAATATCAATCCGTAGACCGCAGAAGTTTCTTAATTTCGTACAGATACAGCTTACTACATTTTCTGAAGGAATTTCATAAAATGCGGTAAAGATATGATCCGTTTGAAGTTTTGAACTCACAAAATCTTATTTTTTTGCTCTACTTCTTCGTCAAGTTGGATTATAATAGCTAATTAAATAGCAATAAAAAATTCTAATAAAGACCTAGAAATATGTATATTGTATTTATTCGATTCGACCATTATTTTTTCTTTTTAAAGAAACTAGATGTGCCAATTGCGGTTAAACAGAAAAGTGGTTGTTTTGTAGCAATGAAACGTAATCTGAGACGTAATAAAAATGTCTCGTTTCTTACATCATTTGCATGATTTGTAACTTGGCAATAAGATCTGAGTGTAACTGAATTAATTAAATTTAAAAAGATTTTGATTGCAATTAATTTCTCGTTACTGTGCTAATTAGCTAATGGGATCAATTGTAAAGCACTTAGGATTGTTTGATTTCGTCTTGAAAAGCCAATTAAATTACAAATTAGTGGTTTAATTAATTAAATATTGTAAAGAAATTGAAATTCAGAAGTAGGTAGATATGAACAATTTGGAAGTTTTGCATAGGTAAACGTAATTTAAAATTATCAGCATATTTTTTGTGTTTGAATGTAACATTCAGCATTAATAACATTAATTTATTACAAAAAGCATGAACAAACTTTCAATCCAATAAAAAGTTACATTAAAAGTTAATTACTTAAATGAGATTTTACTGAAAGATCAGCTTAAACATTTGCATCGCAAAGCACAATATTTTCCTAACTAACCACAATTTGCCTTTGCCTAAAACGCAGAACTGACCATTTAAAACTTTATTCCTTTGCCTAAAACGAAATAAAAAAAAATACTCACTTGTCAAAAATTGCCGCCAAATCTCAACTGTTCAGTCACAACAATCACTGGCGGGTATCTTTCGCGAAGCACCAAACCACACTGCTCACTGTGCCACTGGCGGTCCTTCTTTTGCTGCCCACTGAGGTAATCGCCACTACACAGTACCTTTACTCTTTCGGACACGCTATGCTTTTTAGCGAAGGCGAAGGAGTCGCCAACATTTGCGGTTTGGGTTTGATGGAAAACTTATTTGGTTCACATGAAATTTCAAGAAATGATTAATGTAGAAAAATCCAAGGAATTTTCAAATTACTCTCATTTTATAGTTTGGCAATCAAATTGCAATAAGATAATAGGTAATCGTCTACCTTTTACAGATTCATATAAAAAGTATAGAACTCTGGTTCTGTATCTGTATTTCTGGTATGAAATATAATGAAATAGCCTGTAGATAAAAGTACGTATGTATTATAACAACATCGATCCCAATTGTTTTAAAACATTCTCCTTCAGAAACAAAAAAGCAATCAACGGAATTTCATATTTTTTAAATTATTAAGAAAACCGCAGAATGTTCCACACCCCTGGTTTGTTTATGTGTTTCAGGCGTTACATAACGCTTCATAATAGTACAAATGATTAAGGTAGATGACCTTAATCACACTGTTTGGGCCGAAATTGACGAAAATCACGTATACGTAAATACGGTTATTGCCGTACGAACGTAAAGTTATTCAATGGAAGAAAAACCGCAAGTATTGCTGTACTCTATAGTTAAATATTACGAGACATTAAAATTCATGAATTGTGTTTGTGTGCCAAGATCGTTAAGTCGTATAACGTTGCATTTTTCAAATTGTACAGTTACTCATTCGTGAATATTGCTGTGTAAAGAATATTTATTATATCCTACCCCGTTCACCTAAAAAAAAAAAAAAATTAAATTATCATAGGTTTCATCCAATTAAATATTTTAAATGAAAGCTCCTTCACAACTATTGGGTGATGTATTTCTTCATGTAAGGGAGAGCTTTCCTTCCTTACTTAGTTCATAATAATTTAATAATTTTGTTCCTCTAATGCCCGTTTTCACCATCAATCCCTAATTTTTATGTGACCCCTATAGTAAAACATAACAGGAATTTTGTTTTCAAAGGGGTCACTTGAAAGTTAGGGATTCATGGTGAAAACGGGCATAAGAAATTAAAACATAATATTCAGGTGTCCTATCACATTTGGAGTTATCATTGTTTCGTCAGTCAGAATCTTATAATCTTAAAAGAGCTTTTAGCATAGGAATCGGAAGTTACGGTATACTCGTATGTCTTACTTTATAATTATTTGCTTTGGTGTGTAGTATTGTAGTATGAGTATAATAGCACATCATGTTACTAAAATGATCTGCGCAATAGTATGATCTTGATAGCTATGTAGAGTCCAATTAAACGTTACGTCGCGCCTCAACCACAGAATAATAATAAGTACTCCTCAACGTTGTAAGAGATAGTATTTTTATGCACACGTCAACACTATAATTATTTACAAAGTAATGCAATTAATTACTCAAGTGTTATCACAGGTTCATTCAATGCTTATTTCTCAAAGTTTAGACTTACGTCCGTATTCACAAACGATGCTTGCTTAAACGAAGCAGCAAATCGAACGCATGGTACTCATTACTCATTACCTGTACCTCTAGTAGGAAAAACTTTCGAGTTCGTTTCGTTGCGTATTCAAAGTGTCATCGAAAAATTTTGTATGAAAAATTAAACAGCGCCCCCTAGGGCGGCTATAATATAGGGGGCGCTGTTTAATTTTTCATACAAAATTTTTCGATGACACTTTGAATACGCAACGAAACGAACTCGAAAGTTTTTCCTACTAGAGGTACTGTTAAATGTAATAATGTAAGAACTTATTTATGAAGCTATGAAACTATTTAATTGCTCATCAAACTAACATGAATATTTAAAACAGCTGTTGAGTTTCTGAATAAATAAATATAAATATAAAAACGCACAGCATTGAATAGAGCTTTGTGATGGGTTCATGTGTCACCCTGTCTTCCACGCGCTCTGTGAGACCTCATAGTAATGTTTGTGAATACGGGCGCTAGTTTCGTGTTGATTTTTTGTTTACTTAACTGCTTTTCTTGCGTCGAGATCATGTGTTTTGTATTTCTTAGTGCATCGTTAATTACTTCGTCCTTCGTTCGTTTCAGCCGAAAGACGTCCACTGCTGGACAATGGCCTCCCCCAAGGTAAATAATTAATTAGTAATTAAGTATGACTTATTATAATAGTTTCAGCATGTATACTGCAGAATGCATAAGTACGAGGGCTGCACTAAAAGTATCGGGAATGGAATATTTCCACTGTTCCTATCATATTAAAATATTTTTAATTGCAAACTCCTTGGTTTTAAGCATCGAATACCATTTATTTATTTAAAAAAAGATTCTCGGTCTTATCACAAGGTCTTGTGAAACTTGTTTAGTCGCTGAGAAAATGGAATTGACTCGAGAAAATTCAAGAGCGATGATTTATTATGACTTTCGGAGTGGTTTAACACAAAAACCGTGTGTTGACCGGATGATTTCTGCATTTGGTAATGAAGCCCCATCCATAACCACAATTTATCGCTGGTTTGCTGAATTTCAACGTGGACGTGTCAAGCTCAGTGATGGTCCCCGTCAAGGTCGTCCAAAAACTGCAGTCACCCAATAAAACGTTGATGCTGTGCGTAAGCTGATTGAAGAAGATCGACATGTGACATACCGCGAAATTCAGGCAACTTTAGACATTGGCATGAGTCAAATACAAATAATCTTGCATGAACAATTAGGTGTAAAAAAGTTGTTTTCCCGATGGATGCCGCATTCGCTCTGTGAAGAGCAAAAAGCGGCTCGCGTTACTTGTTTGGGTGTTCGAAAATGAGTTAAAGCCAACAAAAATTGTTCGTTCACGGAGTGTTGCAAAAAAAATGGTGGCCACGTTTGTCTCCAAAACCGGCCATGTTGCGACTATTCCTCTTGGGGGACAAAGAACGGTTAATGCAGAATGGTATGCTAGCATTTCTTTGCCACAAGTCGTTTCTGAACTCCGTAAAGAGAACTGCAACCGCCGCATCATCCTCCATCACGACAATGCGAGTTCTTACACCGCGCACAGAACAAAAGAGTTTTTAGAGCAAGAAAACATAGAATTATTAGACCATCCGCCGTACAGCCCCGACCAAAGCCCTAATGATTTCTATACTTTCCCTAAAGTAAAGAATAAATTGCGTGGTCAGAGATTTTCATCACCTGAAGAAGCTGTGGACGCCTACAAAACGGCCATTTTGGAGACCCAAACTTCCGAATGGAATGGTTGCTTCAATAATTGGTTTCGTGTATGGAAAAATGTGTCAAATTTCGCGGAGAATACTTTAAAAAGCAATAAATACATTTTTAAATAGTAATGTTGTTTCACTTCCTTGATTCCCGAAATTTTCAGTGCCGCCCTCGTAGATGCATATGACGGAGTGTTATGCAACAGTCATATTAATAAGCAATTACAATAATAATTGTCAACATACTGTCGAAGAGATTCAGGTCAAACAGACGTAGCAACAGTAAATAACAATGTTTTTTGTAAATAATTATTTAGTTATGAGTGCAGTGCAGTGAGAAACAAGACCTTTTGAAATGTTCACATGAGATTAACGTTTTGCGTTAAATCACCAATTTCCACATGGCCCACTTTCCAATTGTGACCTTCATCAGCTAAAATTACCTTAATTAGGAACACTTGGGACTAAAAACTGTGGTGTTCACAACGAGGCAATGAATAATGATGACTCTACTTATCCGTAGCTTTAAATTTAGATATTTTCAGCTACCTAAACCGAGATGGGTTAGAATGTTTTAGAATTACTTTTTGGATTTAAGACATGTCAAAATTAATTTATGTTATACATATACGTGAAAAGGGAATACATTTTTCTTATAAGACAGAAAGAGAGAGAAAGGGATAACTCGATTACTTCACGATTATTATTATGTCACGGCGCTCGCGCAGCTGACCCACATTGGCGATGACGCATCATAAACCATTTTTAAACCTTACCTCCTATGTGTCTACCTTAGTTGGCTGTATTTAAATTTAATGTTTGATTTATAACTCCAGATTATAATAATTATAATCTGGAGTTATAAATCAAATTATTAAATTTATTGATTGATTTAATCAAATTATTTGTGTCTTGTGTTTATCTCAGGTTGTTTTGTTAATATTGCATAGAACAATCTGACCATTATTTTATTCGGAATGAAGAAATTAAGTATTGCCAATCTTAAGAGCGTTTACGTCTAGCGTGGCATGTCAAGTTTAGGTAATTTCGATGCTAGTTTTATTCACACTAAAATAATTATGACTGTGTGCGTGTTCTCACGCTCTATAGTCAAATCAAAATACTTTGATCCACCATCGTAAAAGTATGCCAGGCTGTCAAGTGACAGCTCAAGGAAACTATAAAATCTTCAAATCTTCCAACACCGACTCCATAATTATAAATAATGGTATACATTAGTCCTAATCAATAATAAATACGTAAATTATTTATCAAATAGTAAATTATCAAAGGTTTTTTACTATTTTGAGAATATTTTATATAGCCTATGTTCAGCAGAAAATTTTTTGAATTTTTATTGTGAGAGATTTTTTCAAATCGGTTCTATTCAAAACAAACTTTTCCTGTTTACTATTCCGGAAAATGCACAACATTTCATACCCACCAGCTGCAGGGGCAGCTATTGGGTTATTTGGGGTTCTTCCTACCAGAAGGTGGGTAGCCCCTACACCCACTAAAAACCTGACTGTTTCTGCCATGATCCATATAAGTGATATGAGGGAACGCGGGACATCGCCATTGGCTGTTGCCTGTAGCATTCGTCCTTAGCCGCCACCAGACACCTCCATGTCTAGCGACCGAGGCCTGTTAGGAAGGGACAGTTGGAGACCATAAGCTGTCCTCTTGCGCAAAGGGTGTCGGCAGCGGATAACCGGAGTGTCGGCTGAGGCCTCTCGCTCCCCCTTTCCATTGCTTCTTTCTGTGAAAGAACACTTTCACAGAAAGTAAGCACACTATACCATAAGATTATTTGTCTCATCATATATTTTATACTAATGTAGATAATAATATTGTTTCCGAAAGCGAGCGGGTTCATTCCGTACCTGTACGCTTCATGCGTTCTCTAGCAAAAGCTGAAAATCAGTGTTCTGCCCTTTTGAGGGTAGTGTTTATACTGAGCTCTTTGCTTTTTGCATCGCTGCGGCACACATCACTCTGACGCAGGGAACTATTTGAAACGCTAGTCATCTTTATCAAATTTCAGCTTGTAAACTGACGCTAAAGTGGAAATTTACAAAACCTGTGTGGACTTATCTGGATAGAATTCTTAAATGCTAAACTAATCGCAATATTTTCTCAATTAACTATTTAGACGACGAAATTGTCTAACTATTTATGCCTATAACATATTTGTAGTATTACTGGTTAATGATTGTAACGAGTTGAAAAAGTACTGTTTTTGCGCCAAACGGCGTAAACGCTCTTAATTATTCTACATAATATGATTGTCATAATAGAGTTAGTAATGACGTTTACAATTTATTCGCGTTGTTTGTTATTAAACGATATAATTAAAGCGCTAGAGACATGGCAATTGTTATTATAGCCAGAGTTAAAATAATTAAACATCTTACTGACAAAATGTATCAACCAAATACACATATTTTTTCAAATTTTATTAAATTTCTGTCATAGTAAAACCTCAAACAAAATGAATTAAACATACCGACACCAAGCGCAAACGAGCTTCTTCCATTCATAAATACCAACCAAGACCAACATAATGGAGATTCTCTAAATTCAAAAACAATAAAATTTAACATAATTAATGCAGGAGGTCGGAAAAGAGGTATGTATAACATGAGATGAGAGTCCAAAAACAATAATTAATGTTATGTAGGACATTTATGTATGTGTAGTGTTGTAGGAATGTCACAAGCCTTTATTCGCATAATATCAGATTCTCAAAATATCAGATTCTTAAAATATTAGATTATCAAAATAGCAGAATCTCAATATAACCGAAATTGGACATTCAACGTGAAAAATATATTTGTATTACCTATGCAGGGTGTCCAGAAAGTAGAGGTCAAGCCGAAATGAACATGATATCTACTTTAAATAAATATGAAGAATGCTAATTTATGCACAGAATACAGGGTGTTTGGCGGAAAACTGTTCATAAAAAATGTTTCATAATGTTTCATCATCTCTGTAAACAGTTTATAAACAGTCCATAAACATAGGTGATGAAACATTGTTTATGATACATGTTGCCGTACTCCCCGCTATGAGTGGAGAGCAAGTGTGGACGGTCAAGTTTCAGAAACCTGTGTTTATGGTAAACTTGTTTCACACAAGTCATAAACAGTTTATCAACAAATGTTGCCTAGTGAATACATAGCTTTAGGGTCAAATGGGCAAACTTGTATAGATGACCCAAGCTGAACTGTCCCACCAAACTCAATGACAGGGGGGCGCTACCATCGTTCAACTATATGGTTTCCAACATGGCAAAAATCGGAATCAGCGATCCGGTATTGACGGTGGCGCCCCACTGTCAATGTCATGGATAGGACAGTTCAGTATTTTGGAACTATATGATTGCCGCTGGATATAATTTTAAATCTATGGTGATCTTTTTTGTTTTCAATAAGTGTTTGTCTCATATTTAAAAATAAATTTGATTTAAAAAATAAATGTTGTCTTGATTGTACTTTGGCTATATTGAGAATCTGCTATTTTGATAATCTGATATTTTGAGAATCTGATATTATGCGAATAAAGGGTCACAAGAATAGCTTAATTAACGAAATAATGTTTTTATTTGCCGTTAGGTATGAACTACTTAGAAGTAATTTGATCAATTTTGATGCAGTTTTAATACAGAGATAGATTTAAATACCTTCAAGAAAGACGTTTTGTTTCAAAAGAAAATTAATTAAAGAGTCTGAAATAGAGAGTGTATGTTAATAATGCATTATGAAATCATTTGTGGTGCTTTATGTCCAAATATATGAGACATAAATTTTACGTTACAAAAAATCTTTTATAATTCATCTAATCGTCAGTCAAAATTTTAAAACCATATTTTAAGACTTTGAATCAAACTGAAATCTACCAGCTTATTGATGACTATTCATTACAACCAAACAAACAAACAAACAAACAAACAAAGTTTTCCTCTTTATAATATTACAAACAAAGTTTTCCTCTTTATAATATTAGTGTAGATCAAGAAGAAATTCGTCTGTTTCTGAATGTCAAAACTAAGCTTTTGTAACTCCATTCTGATTGTCTGCGCCTCACGTGTGGGTGCCGGTTGGGCAAGCGTCATAGCCGGCAAGAAAGGCATTCTCTGAGCGGGCCAAGGTTACCCGTGGCAGAGGGCATTCACTTTTGGAGCTTCCAACGCAAAAAGTTTGGAGATGATCAATATTCATGATGAGCTCGCGAATATTCTTGCGTGCAGGGTTCCGTAATCTGAATTCAAATTGTTTGTTTTCAGGGTACTTATACATTTGGGTTTGGGACACGTCCCAAATGAAAATTTTAACCGCAAGCTTTTTACAAAATACCTAATCAAAACATAACCCTCCTTCTGGCGCAGTTGGGTAATAAAAATACCTAATAGTATTTTTAATCGTACCTACTAGTTTCTTGTTATGTAGGTAAATACGAATTTTAGGTGAAAGTAAATGATGTAATAAATTATGTTGTTTCATAAAATCTTAGTGACTACTACCACTACTACCTACCGGTTAAAAAGACCAAAAAAGTTTATGAAATTGACGATATCTAACTCTCCATAGCCATAGGTACCCTAGAATCTTTTAAATAACAGAAATGATAAAATTTAGTTGAATTTTACATGCAAATAGACATCCAAAATTCATGCAGCATCTGTTGTGCGAATGATGCAACCAGAATGAGTTTAGTAAATTATTCCCAAACAAAAATATCAAGGACACCTTAAACTTGGAGCCGTGGTAAAATTATCACGAGATATCTTCAAAAAACACAAACAACCAAATAAAAAATAATAATTACAGAGATTAATTTTTATTTTCAATTATAATACGATAAATAATTCATTGTGTCATTTTCCATAGCTATAAAAGCCAGGGTGATCGCCATCAGAACGATGAGGTATCGTTCATGGAATAGACTCCCAGTGTCAGTTTTCATAGTGTGGAGAGATTCCGCTGTCATTCTGAAACAGAAATCACGGAGCCATTCAAACATCAATTATTCCACTCTGCTTAGGTCGGCTACACACGCTGGCCTCAACATTACGATGAATGACATGAAAAATAGTAATAAATGTCATTTTATGTGGGACTTTGGCACCTCACGTTGGCATTGGGACCAACGTGTGCTGCTGGCCTTACAAGAGATCTCAACGCGCAAAAACCCCAAGTAAATGATATTACTATTGTCACAGTCATCATTTTTATAATAGAAACTTTGACATCACTTTGCATCGCTATGCGATTCATTGTTCAGGTACCTATTTATAATGTATTAAATCAAGAACACGTCAATTGGACCTAGCCAGACATGGTTTAGAGAAAATTTTAAGAATATCCTGGCATTAAAACAGAAATAAGAATGTGTCCACAGTTACTGATGACTACAGAAGTTCCTGAGCTTTCAGAGCTTTGACATCGTGTTACCAGTAGCCAGCGCAGTCTGAATCATGCTTCATAAAGTCAAGCGACAACAGGTGACTTGAACCGATTGGAAGTGCCCTCTCTCCAATTTAAAAATGCGTGACTACGGCATGGATTTTGATCCAGAGTTAAAATGCTGTGATTTTTTAAATCTTGAAGATCCGTGACCGAGGTTCCAATCTTTAGAGATCCGAGTCTGAGGTACTTGCAATATTAAATCTAGTAGTGGACTGCCATACTCAATACTCAATACTCAATAGTTTATTGCTTCCATAATGTTTACAAAAGGTGGATGTTGGATGGCCGTGTTCTTACATAGTAGACTACTGCCCGTTTTCACCATCAGTCCCTAATTTTTAAGTGTCCCCTATGGTAACATATAATAAGAATTTAGTTTTCATAGGGGTCACTAAAAATTAGGGATTGGTGGTGAAAACGGGCATAAATGACTGAAGATGATGATGTAAACAGCAGTGACGACTGACCGCTAGCACCGCTGCCTACTCGGGCGGCGGGCATCCATGACGATCTTGTACGCCTGCGCCGCGATAACCAGCATGAGCATGAACCCCACGGCGATGCACATGACGTCGCCGAAGCAGAAGTCCTGGCCGCAGGTCCATGACGTGCAGCACCCCTCCGCCGGATCATCCGTGTCACAACTGGGAACAACAGAGACAAACTGTGGTGATGATTGAAAATGACATATTTTCATTCCATTGTCGTACTAATATTATAAAGAGGAAAACTTTGTGTTTGTTTGGTTGTAATATAGGCTCAAAAACTACTGGATCGTTTTTAAAAATTCTTTCACCATTCAAAAGCTACATTATCTACGAGTAACATAGGATAAATTTTATTTTGGAAAAACATAGGTTTCAGGGGTCAACGCGCGCGAAGCCGCGGGCAGAAAGCTAGTGTTAGATATACCCAGTAGCCTATCGACTTTTGTCGGCGATAGCGTGGTCGGGTTATTGATCAGATCAGTATGAATATGTATAAAACTACGCACAATACACCGATTTGCACGCACGCAAATTATGAGCCGACCAAACTATCGGCCGACTAACTGCAGTCTGCGGGAAGTCCTAAGGTCTTAAAACAAAAAAAAATAATTTACTCCCATTAAAGGAATAATTACGAATACTCGGAACTCAACTCAACTCTTCTCGGTCCCACAACAATTCCTGTGTAACCAGGATCTACAACTTGACTGCTAATAATTGAACCCAGCTAGTGAAGGCTAAGAAGTTTGAGTCTGCAGGGATGTTAGAGCTTTAGGTTCTATTTCATAATGTCAAAAATAAAATTGTCCATGATAGTCAGTCTGTAACTTACGGATCAACATTTTTTCTATAATTTTGTATCATCTAACAGGTTTCTACTAAGCTTCTAGGTAAAAATATCAAAGATTCATACAGAATAGCTTTTGTCAGCTCCTCGGCTTCTTTGGAAGGGATTTTCTTCAAACGACTGAACAAGATTGGCCACGATAACCTCCTTGCCCTGTAATTAATGTTTGTGAGTAGAATACTATATCGTAAGTTACAGAATAACTGTCATGGACTCTTCTAAGAAGTTATGAGCCCTTTACATTGCAAAAAAAATGCGTTTTAAATAAATTAAAAAGGATAGGGAGTTAGTTCCTGTATGGGAAAAGGCCAGGCAAAGAAGAACAGGGGAGTTCCTTTTTTGCTAAACGCAGGTATTCATGTTAGTAAAATCCAGGCGTTGTTTATTCTAAATTGATACATTTCCAATCACATTAAAGTATATTTTGATTTGTTCATAATTCAATAACTTGTGATAGTCGTAAATAATCTTCAAAACGTCGTGAATGAATGATTTGTAGCAAAGTCTTATAGATGCTACATTTCCCAATGTCATTTTGTATCTACCCGCCATTTCGTATGCCGGGACATTGCTAAACAAAACATGAGATTGTTCACGCAGACGATTAGTGTTGTGCACGGCAACATGAACGCTCAAAACTCGGTTTTATATTTAGCAATCGTTATGTAACTGACCACTAATCTTGACCCCATGCAATAATATCAGCCACTGACACACATAATATCTAAACTTATTTAAAACAGGCCTAAACTTGTTCTTGGGTACCTCGATTTTCTCGCACATTATAATAATTCCATGTGCTTAAGGGTCTGGAATGGAGTGTTCTTTTAATTGAATTATGAACACCTATGTAACATTTGCTACCTTTATGAGATTTATTGCGTAGGTATATTAAACCTATAATAAATAAAAACTGTCTCGGTCTAAACAAGTAGGATCATGAAGTATTGGAATTAAGCAATAAACAAATATTTCTAAAACATCAGCGTCTATACATGCAGTCGGCGCATTGCAAAGTAAAACGGACTTAGCGAATCCGAATCCATTGTTAGTGAAAATCTAATTTGCTTCTTGAACATTCTTCGTTAGAACATCCGTGAACATAAATTACTTTACCCATAAATGAGCGTGGACGTCTAAAACAATCAATTTTTGTGCTTAAGATATTGTATGGTGTCGATATAAAACATTGTAACCATGCAATGAAGGTGTTGACCGGGTAAAAGTGACGTTCGTATTTTAGCTCTACATTATCAATAAGGTGACTACAACGTACCAAATTAGACGTTATTGTCGTAATATACTCTGTTAAAAAGTGATCTGAATACATATCTCTCCAATTTATTACTGCTTAGTTTACAGCTTAAGGTCAAGGTGCCCAAACGCAAACACCTCCGTTACATAAGAATATCCCACTCACATAACGAAACCAGTACATAATATTACCAACGTTGCGATACGCGGTTAAGAAATTGCTGACTCAAACCTCTATTGAGTTCTTTTTGCAATAGTATTCAACTAATTGTTATATTACCTCATTTTACAATGTTACGTAGTGTAAGGGCCACTGCATATTGAAGTACATTAAGGTATGAAAATATGGAAATTTTGTGTCTTTAAGAATTTCATGACGTCTCATTAGGAGTATGGTATTTTCTTGCGATTCAAAACATTTAACTGTTCGTTGGATCTGCCCTTAGAAAGTGGAACTCCTCTCACTTCTATTGGCAAAATCTTGGATAGCCAAGACCTTGCCAGGCATAGAGGTCGGCCATGATTATTACCGCGTAAAATTTAGTTTGTCACAGATCGTCATAAATTATAGCCTATATGTTAATTTGGGTTATAAACAATAATACTGTAAAGTTTCATCAAAATCCGTTCAGTAGTTTTTGCGTGATAGAGTAACAAACATCCAGACAGCCAGACATTCCACACAAACTTTCGCATTTTCTAATATTAGTAGGATAGATACAAAGGATTACCTTGCCCTACCAGTAGATATATTATTGTTTTTAATGAATAGAAACAGAACAATTGAGAATAACTTTTCTGTACTTACTATGCCTAGACACAATAAAATTCAACGAAGACCAATCTGTATACGCGTTTACGTCTATTTTTGGCTGTATCAAAAAGGGCGCAACTGGTCCGCTGTATTATACTCAATCACAGGTAAAAGTGCCAGTGAAAATGCAGTTGTTTGTGTCCACAACAACAACAACAAGTGCCGCAACGACACGTAATTTAGAGTTCACCTCGTTGGTTGTATTGTGTAAACGGTTAATGTCCAAAATGTGGATTTCTTCACCACTATGGACAAGAGCGTTTTCGAAACTGAATAGATTCCTTAAAATATTAATTTTTTCCGTAGAAATCATCTACTGAAAAAGAAAAGTAGTCCTCGATCATTCAGGGACATTGTACCCAACTCCAAAATACCATAAATCAATCATATTTTAATGATATCTTTTGAAGATCAAATTATCCGTTATATCGCTTGATGTTAACAATCTTTTCTTGTTTCTACATTTATACCTCAGAATACGGAACAAACCAGAAACCGTCAACGGGCGTAAATGTGTATTCATATAAAGTACTCCAAAACGCACTACTTTGACTTTAGAGCAATTAGTCAATGGCCGGCGCGCGCATTGTTTACATATCCGTCAGATTGACACTTTAAAATTAAATTATGCCGTCTTGTGCCGTTCCAACATGTAGGAATGCTACTGGAATTACGAAGAAAGTGCATGGGAACATGTTTTATCCGTAAGTAGCACATTTCCAATTCATTTTAGGGCTGATTTTTCAATCGTCGGATAACTTTTAACTGAAGAATAAGTTTGGCACATTGACAGTTTTAGTACGGGAAATATGTCAAAATGACAATGTTATTCTTCAGTTAAAAAATATCTGACGATTGAAAAATCAGCCCTTAATTAAATAATAATTTTCAAAAAAAATCACGGTTGTATTTTGTAAGTGTTGCCACAAGTCTACGGAATATTTTACCCTACTTTTTTATATTGAATTACATTTGTCTATAAAAAATTCACGCGTTAATTTTGTTAGCGTTACCACAGAATAATGGAATATTTTCCCCATCCTTTTTGTTTTAATTAGTTTTTAGTGTATTTTCATCCATGACAATATGACAACCTGATTAATTAAATTATAAGTGCCACTTGTGGTCTAAACTGAATAAATATTTTTGATTTTGATTTGATTTTAATATTTGAATTAATTTATAATATTACTCCCTAAATAATGAGGAGATAATAAATTACTATCGTGAATTTCATACTTTCCCATTTATTCAAAAGTAAGGCATTGGTATCAACAGACCAGCAGCAGCAATATTTGTATATTTAATAATAATTTTAAGTAATTAATTATTGCTTACATACTTACTCTGATTTTCTTTCAGGATACACAGCCAGAGTTGCCTCGCAATCAAATTCAAGTATTGGTGATGTTATTGATTTGGATTCTGTTTTTGACTCCAAGAAAAGTTAAACTAAAAGCACTACTGCGCCGTAAACAAATGTTTTGTTGTCGATATGTTTACATAATAAAGAACCTTAAGTTTCTTTTTTGTTTTACTTGGCATTCTAAAATTTATATTCGAATTTTGTAATTGACTTTTAAATAACATATTATACCTACATGTAGTATATTACACTATTTAATAGAAATAAATAATCATCTACACTTAGTTACTTCGGAGTAAAAATTAAATTCATAGGTAGGTAGGTACTATCTATGCCTATGGCCAGTCATGTCGTCTCGTTCTATCGCAAAGAATCACCATTTGATGAGAGCGAGAGCAAAAACGGAACAGGATAGTTAATACTGTGGCCGTGTGTACTTATTTCACTTACTTATTTTTTACTTGTTTAACATCTCATTAAAAAATTACATAATTTTACCCCGAAAATGGGGGTGTCACACGGCGCTAGTAACACTAAAGGGGGTAGAGGGGCGCGGGAGGGGAAGTATTTTGGACACAAGTTGCCGCGTAGAAATGTTATCGAACACTCCTTCTGGTTTGTTCTGTATTCTGAGATTTATACTTTTTGTCTATTGATCAATAAAATCTGGCTGCTACTTCAGCTTAACGATCTGCCTAATTTAATCAATTAAGTGTTGATTCATTGATTGAATAACCTACAAATCTATTAGCCGTTTCTTCCACATTTTAAATTTTTTGTCGATCAACACTTACATTTTAAATCTAACCGAATTCAGTTAAAAACGACCGTAATAATAAATGTAACATATTTTAAGGAATGTCGAACATTACTTATCTCATCCATCTTATCATTTGAGATATCGGCGCCAAAAAATATCTAAAAGGGATTTTCAGATGAAGCCAGATGTAGTAGACGATGTGTTAAGTAGGTGACTTCCATGCGAGAACAGGTCTACGTGCTATCGTGCTATTCAGAGCGCATTGATGGTAGATAAGAGATACTTTCACCCCTACATGCAGACAGCAATTAGACATAATTAGCAATTCATTGCGTCTCAGTCCGCGAGTACTTTGCTGTCATATTTGGTATATTCTCTAGGAATAGTGTTCTCATAACCTCACTCTAGAGCAGGGTTTCCCAATTTTTTTTTGCCAAGGAACCCTATTGATTATACTTTTCCTAGCGGAACCCCCGTACTACTCAGCCCGCACGCCCTGCCCCTCCCTTGTGCGTAAACAAGTCGGTGCGAGCGAATAACGTCGGTCACGAAACGTGGGATATTTTTTACGGAACCCTCGCGGCCTTTCCATGGAACCCGAGGGTACCGTGGACCACCATTCGGGAACCGCTGCTCTAGAGGACTGTGGTAATATAGGTTAATGGTCTATGTCTGTTATAGCTCAGTCTATATGCTTAATACGTATGTGAAAGAGCAATAGCGTGATTGAAGAATGTAACCAATAAAATAAATTAAATAATTACACATAACTTTCAAAGCGAGTTGAGGTATGTATGATTGAAATCTCAATAAATAACTTACACGATAGCTAAAATGGAACTTATCTTACCTGTATACAACAATGTCATCCTTAGATTTTGTCATTCTACAGCATACGGAGCGAAATGCTATGATCAGGTCGATGAGCGTCTTGGAGTACATCTGGTGGGAACAAGAGACCTGCGCAATTCAAAAACTATAATTACTATTACATTATGCAATTATGCATGCAGCATGCTATCATTACAATTAATTTTTCGATAAAAAATTGTAAGTGAATTCTAATTTGCTTGCGACTCTACCATGTCGCTACTCTCTATCTAATATTCAATGTGTCCTCAAAAAATATCTTAAGAACTCTATTTTTTACTACAGCCATAGCGCATAACTGAATCGATTCCTGCAGTAGTGAACCGGTGCAGGTCCATGTGACGTAATGTAAGCTGACTCGACATACATGTCTGAAGTACATCTCAATTCCTGACGTACATTTTGACCTACCAAAAACCGTCCTGCACCTCTCCACTACCTTTTAAGATTCAGTTATCCATCATGCCCGTTGTAAGAGATAGATAGGGTAAACCGTATAGCTATTGCCCACTTAAGGATTTCAAACACATTGAGATGAAAAATTAAACAAAGTATTTTAATTTATCGACCATCTATGACTTTTTTCTTATAACTCAATAAACTGTTAAACAGAATATTAACAGATTTTAGTTAAAACTTACGTAACTTAGAAAATATTGAAATAAATTTAAAATCCTCCAAAAAGTACAGTCATTGCCCATTACTTACACTAATTGCCCACATCAAAGCACAGTAATTGCCCAGTATCTTAAAACAAAATATTCAATTTTAAAATGACAAAATAGGCTTTAAATAAACAAAACAAAACATTAAACTTAAATTCTAGCAGTACAGTCTTCAAAATTTCAAAATAAATTGCGTTTGGCCTTATTAACTATATTATCAAATATTTTTTGAGCTGATGTTGATGAGTCAGAATCGGTAGAGACAGAATCATCTACTTCAAAACATAGATGACGCAAAAATTTGAATTTTATATGTATTTATTTTTTTATCTTCTTTGATATCAGTTCAAGTGTTAAAGTCTTTACCGGTTTGAGTAACATTTTGACCCGTCTTGACAAAATCCGCCATAACTTTTTTTTTTAGTGTTTCCTATTGTAAATTTTACATACTACTGTACATTGATCTCGGAGCCATCTACTTAGTAAATTCAAATCTACCTAGAGTGATTCAAAGTCAGCACCTGACAATATTATTCTTAAAGCGGGCAATCACTACCAGTGGGCAATCACTCTCTGGTTTACCCTACCTACTAGAGACCGTTTATGTGGTAGATCCTAAATAAATAGAGTAGCAAGTAATTTACATAGATCAAAATTGTCTTTTTAACACTTGGGCCCATTTATCGTCCCGAAGCAGTGCAGTGGTAGAGTTAAAGCAATAAGGGGACGTGTAAAAGCTTCTTAAAAGCCTTAAAGCAATAAAGGGACGTGTAAAAGCTTTTTAAAAGCCTTTTGCAGCAAATAAATTACTTCTTTGACTCCTTACTTGCACAAAGTGTCATCCTTAGGAACTTTTATGTTACAATGTGACGTCCACGAAGCCGGAAGCGATGATGCGACAGGCCTGCGTGAGGAGGATGAGCAGGAAGGTGAAGGCCACGCAGATGAATACGATTTCCACCAAGTCGAATTGGTTGCAAAGCGAGGACTTTGGCGGGAACTCCGGTGGAGCCATGTTGAGAGCTGAAACATAAGTTTTACTCTTGGGTGCATGATCATGATATTTTATGCTTCGATAATTTGGTCCAAATAAGAATCTGGTATTTGTCGCAATCAGACACCATCGTGCACGCCGACTGCACGCGTTTTTTGGCCGAACCTTCACAGCTAGGTGGAAAGGTGGTTCGAATTCACTTTTGTCTTCACTGGTCTACTCAGAAGACCATTATATCTCCCTCAAAATCACGCAAATCTTGACTCTAAGGTAAATTGTTATGAGCAGAATATTTTAAGATCTACCGCTACTTGTTACTTACCACTTTATCAATAAACAATTCTTTTAAGAAATCTCAGTGCTTTTGCCGTCAAAATAAGCGGAGGAGGCATACTCAATGAGTATGTTTCTGTAAAGAGAAGAAACTGAGCAAGTTACAAAAGAATTATAAATAGAGGTTAGATAATGAGTAACTTTATTTCTTGCAATAATTTAGTATTGGATAATTGGATTGCAGAATAGATGAAGCCAAACTTAGAAGCCAAATAACTCACTTACCTGATTGATTGTTGTCCATTTCATTTGAATATTGTTCCTACCAAAAGTTGAATATTCCCGTCAGTGTACATTTTAGGGTTAATATTTTTTTAAACTTTGCAATTTGTTGTGTTTTTACTCCAAATTTAGTCGTTTACATTTTTCTCACGGATGGCACAAACTTCAAAATGACAGGTATCAGGTGACATGTAACATTAAAAAGAAGTTCATAAGAACAAAAAAGTGTTTACTTATTTACTTTTTATTCCTGAAAGAAGAAAACGATGACTCGTCTAGAAAATAATATTTATATATCCTTTAGAAATATCAATGAGAGCCATCTTTGTTTAGTCACAGGTTTTAAGTGCTATAACGAACTCGATGTAGAGTCTTGCGATTTACAGCAATAAGTCGATGGCATAGATCCATGTTGCTTTTTAATAAAAGCCTTTCTAATCTGGTTTACTAGGCACGACGACAGATGGCGCTGGCGCATAACAACTTGGAAGTTTTTAATTTATTTTGCATGTTTCATTGCAGAATTTAGTTGTTGATTAAAATTAAAATATTTGTATGCAGGATTTAAGAAATGAAGTATATTATTACAGTAAAGTATTTTAGTTTGCAGTTATCGATCAAACAAGACAGCTAGCACAGTCTGTCAGACAGCTGTCAGGGCACTCACGGCGCAGGTGGGCCAGTCCGATTAGTCGCTCGAGCCGTAACGGTCGCATCGCGCACCGGCGCGGGCGCTTTGATACGTTACGTTTCAAAAATCGAACTTCATCAATGAACTTGTGCTTTTTATGATGAATTATGTTACGACACTAAAATTACAATGTTCATGCAATCACATGACGCGACGCCCGGTGCCTTGGAGGAGGAGTTCAGTAGGCCGGTGGAGTCCATCATGAGGATCGAGGACTTCAAGAGCAACTTCGCCAGGAGGCTGTCCAATCGATACACCACCAAGTCTCCTGTGGCCACTCCAAGAACGGACACCGCTTTAAAGCTACGACCAGATAAATCTAATTCAAACGACAACGTAAGTATTTTGTCTTCCTTTTTTGTTGTTAGATACTTTTTTCGTGTGACCAGTAGTGATAGTAAAAGACCGGACCGTGTCATTTGAGTTTTTGTGTAAGTACCCTACATGTAATTTATGGTAAACATTCTCAGTGAAAGTGCTCCTCATTGGTCATCCGAATTGCAGTAGCGGTATAATAATTAATGGTAACAATAACCATATCTCAGAGTCATGTGTTATTTTGTCAGTGTTAATGCGTGGCTTCGGATTTGGCCTTAATTAAATAATAACTGCACAAACGCTGTTATCGTAACAAACTAAACTACTTGAAATGAAAGTGTCTTTCTAAATTGCGTTAGAAGATATTTGTAATTGCAAACAATGTTAAAACATTTAGGTAATCTTGATTGAAAATAGCATCTATGTTTTAATTGAATTTATTACTTTGTTATTGTCACTACACAAGTAAAATTACGACAAGTTCAATTTGGAATAAATGTAGGTAAGTAGGTAAGTACAATGAATTTTGTTTTTTAATCAAGAATGTTCTAAATTACCTACAAAACTAGCCATTTTATCTTTTATTTTTTCGTTTTCTTTTTGGTATAATAGTATAATAATAGTTCATTCTCCGTTGGCAGATTACTTATCTGGCAATCATGTTCTCAATTTTCACTAGGTGTTATCATTGATACACTCATTGCATTAAGGGACACCCGCAGGAACGTTCACAGATCGTCTTCAAACTGTGATAGTGGTTAAAAATCTAAACTTCATTTCAGAACATTAAAACAAACTCCTCAGAGTCTCCAAATATTATAATCACTTAATAAGATATGTTGTTTTAGAACTCATCGTTTTCTATATCACGCAACGATAATTCTGTTGCAGGTTCAAACATAATTTCGTTCCAAGGTCAGATTATACAGGGTGTCCCAAAAACAATGGATAACCTTGTAACTATCGATAACCCTCAGTGTAGTCTATCTAATATAAAATTATGACCAGGTAAACATATCACGGTTTTCGAGGCTTTTAAGTTTTTTTTTGTATCTTTAGAAAATTGACACCTGTGATTGCGATGCGAGATTACGAATTTTTTCCTTTTCTTCTTTTTCATTTTTTTATACTTTGAAACTAGTTTGTTGAATTTCATGAGAAAAAATAATCACAGATGGCAATTTTCAGAAAATAATTAAATCTGTGATATTTTTACTAAGGTCAAAATGTTGATATTATAGAGATCTTGAGGAAGCCTATCGATAGTTGTAAGGTTTTGTGACACCCTGTATTTTACGGTTGTGATCCTGGTTAGTCATGATTCTCAGGCTGAGTTGCACCATCTTACTTTGACTGTAACAAACATCAAAAATCTGTCAAACTCCATATTAAAAGCACCGTTTATTGTTAAAATTGCGGTTAAAGTAAGACGGTGCAACTCAGCCTTAGAGGTTGGCATGTAGTGAAGTTATGTTCAAAAGTTTACTAAAGATTGATCGACAATAATAATAATCTTTCTCATCTTAACATGACAGAATAACAAAAGTCTCTATTTATTTTTCGTTCGTTCGTTCTTTTCAGCCAAATGACGTCCACTGCTGGACAAAGGCCTCCCCAAAGGTTTTCCACAATTCTTACTAAGTTCAAAACCAAAGCTTTGAACGACGGTGAAGCTGTATATTCTAGCCAAACAAGACTTTCAGCGGTAAGAACGACAGTAAAAAAGAATCCCATGAAATAGTATCAAATCGTCTTGCATTTAATATAAAAGGATGGGAACAGCTGGCTACAGTCTGGAATGATTTTTTCATACCCTGAGAACTTTTTTAACCAAGGGTTAGTACTTAAATGGCGATACAAAAGTTATTCGGTCAAGGATAACCGGTACAACGGTCTGCGATAAAGCTACTGTAGCATCTTCGAAAAAAAAAAGATTTCTCCCTTTCAATCGCATACGCAGATTTAAATGATACATGTGAACAGTTTAGCCAGCCATTGTTTATTCAGACAATACTCATGTCCTATTGTTTTAAAACGTGCAAAAAACTGTTTTACGTGATTATGGAAATGAAGTTTAAGCCTAACGTACTCGTTATGTAAGTTTTACTGACCGCTGAGTTTTCGCAGAAACCTTCCCTAGACAGACAGTTAATTTGCAAGGCAATTATAGTGGTCAGCAGGCATAACCTGAGCTTTGCTGAATACGAATTAGGGATGGCGAATCGTTCTAAAACGGCAATTCTAAAAATTGACTTTTACAATATAAAGTTCCAAAGTATGTATTATTTTAACCATTTGAGCCATTGCTTTCTTTATCAGCTTTTAATATTATGAAGAAAGAAACAATCCTCCATCAATTTTATTTCATCAAGACAAAGGATTTTTTTGTTGTTACTGTTATGCCATTATCAACAAAAAAAACGAATCACTATTATACATATTACTGAGTGCCAGAATCCAATAACGTGATTGATCATTTGGTAAAAATCGATTGAAAAATAGTATTTTTGTCGCGAATAATCGATTCTTCATTTGATATCAGATCGCCATCCCTATATGAATTACGTATTTTAAACTTTGCTATACGCGAATCAAAATATTCAAACCACCTTCGGCGATAGAGCGTGCTCTACCGCGCCTCGGGCTGTACAATTGTGTGGGTAAATGGCTGCTTGAAAGCACGTTATACAATAAAATTATACATGAAATTTCTTCAACCGTGAGATGTGGGGTGAGCCTAGTGTTTGAGTTTATGTTTGCGAAGATTCTGACATGGTATTTTTTTTTCACAGAATCATTTTTGACCTCATTACTAATGTATTAATATCTATACTCATGTTTAACGGTAACACTCGTAAATAGGCGAAGACCTTCTTGGCATTGAATCCTGAGACCCCCTTTTAACTGTTCCTTTGGGGCTTTGAGGTGGATTTAAGCTTTTATAGAGACAAAGAACAACATAACTCATTTTTCATTAAGGGACAAAAAAAATGTCTGTAGCAATTCATCGAGCAATTACTGGACGCAGGAACAGCAACTATGACACTTTTTCTTATTAATCATTAAATTGCATGAAATTACGTCAATTACAGTTTAATAAATTGTGAGCATATAATATACAGGGTGACAGGGATACACCACATATTCCTTGAAAGGGTTAATAGACTACGTTGAGTATCCCAATTTCCCTGTATACTACATAATTTGTGTCTTATTTTTTAGCTATCTTTGTCAATTATATCGGCTCCTATTTCTACGAAAAACGTGTAAAATAATTCTTCTACGTCCTCATCTATCTTCTGGGTTCTTACAGATAACATTACAACCAGTTTTGTACGAGCCTGCAATGTCCAAACTCCGCATTATAATGTTTTTATCAAATAGAGAAAAAATGCACATTTTTTTATTCCTTTACGAACAAAAAAGGCAAAGAGCCTTTCATGTACCTTCTTTTTCAGCTCTCAGCATACTCTTTTAAATTGGTTATGTCGCGGATTATTAACTAGCAAAAAGTTGCTAAGCGACTCATGTCAATTACCCTTGATTATGTTATTATCTCGATGGCATAAACATAATGGCGCAAATGGCTTAATTATTTGGTAAAATTAATTAAAACAGAAAGTCGATAGTTTCTACCATATAAAATTGGTTTAATGAAGCTATAGAATAGAAACAAAAAACGGTGTGACCTGACACAACAGAATTTCTAACGATTATAATTTCTATCAGCAAAAACATAAGAACAATTTTATATTAATTAATCACTCGTCTATTAGAATTTCTATTATGATATTTTTTTGGCAGAACAAGTATCAGCAGGTTTTCTATGAGCCACATGTAACAGCTGAAGACAAAAGGCAGCTAGTCGATATTACATGGATTTTAGACAAGAATTCCATACATTTGTCGTCTAATGTCGATAAGATTATATCGTGGCACACAACCTAGGACAAATAGAAAAAATATATCTATCCACCATTACTTATAATCAGATAATATGCTGAAATTACAACTGGTGGTGTGCTTGGCCATAAAGGCACTACTTTATTACTGTTTTGCGTTATTAATTTAACTTTTCCTCGTAAACTTTTTCACAATAACACATAATATTTATACAAAAAATAGTTTAATTATCGCGTGCCCCTTCCGTAGCGTTCGTGATTGCCACTGTAGCATAATTAGTTAATTCCTATTCCGTAATTTAGTCAACATTCACCTATGATGCCTTTTGTTTACAAATTGTTCTATTTTGATGCGATAGGTCTGTTTGAAACCTGTAAGAACTAAGCAAAAAATAAAATAATACGATCTACTTGCCCATCTAAGAGCTGATAGGCAAAAGGAAGACTAACATTTTATAAAAGACCACCAGTTTATTTTCTATATTTTTCTATAACTACCCAAGCTATTTGCGTTTGCTTTGAGTTCTTATCAACATAATTTTAATGTTACTGCGACTTTAGATTTATAGGTATAACTTATTTACAAACCTTTTAGGCAAAACTATCAATATTGACTAGGTACCTAGGTACCTACATAAAAATTGTCATAAAACTCATTACAGGACTTTGCAAAAACAACCGAACATATGAAACAAGAACGTGGTAACGTGTGTATAACTATGCTCGAAACCGCTGATTTTCTATTGCGTATTAGATTGCAGGGTAGACAGAGCATAGTCAATGGAGATTTGCAACAGGCGGCGTGTTGCAAACAAAGGCTCAACAACCATACAAACATATTCATATACTTTGCACTCTAATTTGTGTAACACAGGAAGCAATTCAGGCGGATGATCAATAAATAAATCTAGACAGATGCCAAGACTTGTATCCTGTACCACAAGGATGAAAATACTTATATTCTACACACAAAGGATATCTAATAATGAATACCTTATCTTTCATACATTTTGAGAAAAGAAGTAAGGTCATTTATGGGAAGCTCTAAGGCTCTACCTAAACTTTCCTCATCAAACTCGAAAACTGTTGTTTCATTTCATTATCTACATTCGCACA